AGGGTGGGGGTTGTTTCAGCTTAGGCGCTTATCGCTTACAGGAACACATGGCTCATTCCTAGTACGCTGTAGGTGACGTTTGCGACCCTCTGTCTGTGGCGGGCCGGTCGTCAAGCTTAAGTCGATTGAAGTGGACTGTGAACTCCGGGCCGAGTGTTCGTTCATGGTCCAGGCTGACGCGAATTGTGTCCGAAAGAACTTGGGTAACGATAATGTAGCCCCTACCAGTCGATCACGAACTTCAACGGAATCACTTGACCAGTCGAATAGATCCTCTGGTATTCGCATTTCATGGCTGCACGTGAGGGCGAAAGGAGTCTGTTGTGTCGACGAGTGGGACGTGAAACGATAGGCAAGCTGCCGAATACCACACGCAGATTATGTGTAAAATTTGGTTCGGCATTATTTGCGAGGTAGTAGGCACATTAGACAAAACAAAGGCCACGGTCTCCAATTTCTGTAGTCCGGAGGGCACTGAGACAGAGATACATCGGGTTTAGATGGATGACGGAAAAGAGAGAAAGTGCGGTAGATGCTGTGAAAAGTCTACTAACAGTTAAACATACCTCACGCGCAAGTCACTGTCACTGAAGCAACCTGTTTGGAGCGGATGTTGGGCATCGTCGAAATTGATGGTCCAACTGTTGCGTGTAAAACCTGTGCTTATTGGCTATTCACAAACCAACAGCCTCCCTTTTCTAACCGATAACTGTCGAGCCAGTACAGACGATATGTCAGTCGGTAGATAATGTAAACGAGGACGCCACCAGTAGGCAGCCAATGAAAAGTAGTGTTGACCATCAGCACATGTTTCATACATTTTGCCCTATCGTAGATTTTACCCGTTTGTTTGAAACCTTTCTGGTCCTAAAACTATCCATCAACTTCCACTGGTAGTTGGGCACTGGGTCATCAGCCCCCGTCCTAATTACTCCTTTCGATGGCATTTTCAGGTCTTCAGGTGACACTTGCTGTTCATATAAGGGTAGTAATAGTTCTCATCTTTCCTCACTAATAGATCTTTTTTTTTAATTCAATAGGCGCGGTTCCATGTGGCATAGTTACAAGAAAGAAATGCATGCAAGGTATTTGCTAGTTCATTTAAAAAAATGCCTTTTAGGCTGTCTAGTCACCTGAGGCAGGGACTGGAGCCGAGACGTACTCACGCACCTCCACATGTCTGCATACAAGGACTATGCTGAATTCATTATGACCTACCAGTTGTGTCCTCGCGGTTTCGTGTGTTAAGACAACTTTTCGATCACATGTACTATCAGCTATTCTGACATTGCGTCTTTCCCGAGCCTGTACTAAGGCGCTGAGGAAGTGTTCTGATAGTATTCCGATAAATGGGAAATGCCAAACAAGTATTGGGCTGAGTGCAGACTCGTGACTTAACCCCAGCTGCCAGCCATTTTCTTGCTCTGAATATTCAGCAGTGTTTACGGGGTAGGGTCTTTTGACAGAAATAGAGAAGAGTCCTCGTAAAAAGTTGGTATTACCTGTGAATCTGTGGTTACCACGTGCCTTTTTTGTCTTCTGAGTCTAGAATCGCAGACGTTTCTCACTGATTTGGGCTGCATAGTACTAGCATTCGCGGCTTATTTCTCTTTTTTGAAGTTGGGCATTTGGGACGTTATCAACAAATGCTAAAACAGCTAATACTTGATCGCTGCAAGCCCCCATAGCTTTTACAGTTTAACCTAATTTCCGGTAATTGAGCTAAATCTCCACCTGGATAGCCAAAACTGCTCTTTTTTTTCACCTTATCCAGGAAAATTCTACCGCGTTCTTTTAGTCTAGTGCAAAATCATCTTTGGTCCTGTACCTCTGGCAATAAAAATAATACGCCGCTTAGCAGGACTCTTTTATCAGGCAAAACCACAAATAGAGTCACAGCTTTAAGTACTCATCTTTTTTAAATATCGCCTGCAAGTGCTATCTCAACGGTCTAAAAAAGATGTTCAGACGCGTGCTTATATTTCTACATAAAGATTAAAAAGGTAAAGCTTGGCTTATGGCTCGCGTTAAACTGTTTTTTTCATTATAATGAATTAAATCCTGTTCCGTGTTGGCCGCTCCGCAGAATCGCCGACTTTTTTTACTGCCATACTTTCTCAACTCTCATACTGCAAAAAATACTGCTCAACCTTCTCAGCACGTTTTGGCGCGCAAATAATAATTCAAGCATCAAGATTATTGACCGCCGGAGCCAAGATGACAGTAAACGATATCTGGTACATTCCTACCGGCACCACCAAAGCCAATTACTAGGTCAGACCGTCGGGACTAAAAAACCTCTTACTCTCAGCTCGGCACTTCAATAGTCAAAAATGCAAGCATCTAGTTTACTAAGAAGCTGCGTAAATTGTTCGTGCCTGGTCAGGTAAAGCATTTTGAACAAGGTGATTGGTCAGGATACGATAGTTGAGAATACTAATGAAACATAGGAAAATTCAGCAAAAATCTGACTCAATAAGAGTTTGACACGCGCGTAGGTACCCCCCATCCTATGTCGTAGGTCATCTTACGCCAAATTCCAAGGGGTACATATTTCCACGTCCTAACCCTAATGCCAACCTAGACCTTAGCCCTAAACGTCAACCATAATCATTTTAGGATTTAGCGCAGTTCCACCTGTAATAGATGCGAATAGCTATTCCCATGTCCCGGCTTAATCAGAAACCGACACAGATTCATCGACAAAAGGTCCAGTTTCAGATAAACAGCTTGAGATGAAGGAAAGGTGAAGGAGGACTGTAAAGGTAGTGTTATATTGCGGAGAGCTTATACAATTTGGAGAACAGTTCAAGTGCCGTAGAGACAAAAATGTGGGCTAAATAAATAAGCTCAATTTTCAGGTATGCATACAGCAAGTGCATGCGAAAAACAGAATATGAACAATAACGTATAAAAAATAAGTGAGTACTACTAAACCACTCGAACTGTTATGCAAGAAGTAATACTGAGCAGTATGAAGCAATCGCTGCAAGCTTAAGATGCCTTTTTGTCCACATTTTGGTAGCCTTCTGTGAAGATTCGAAACGACCCTGGAAAAAATAAAATTGTCATAACGGAGAAGAAGTCCTTCGCACGGGTAAAGCGCCTATTGGTCTAATCCTCGCTCTTCCGTGTTCTCTTCGTTTTCGACTCTAACCAGTATCAAAGCGTCCTCTGGTTACTTGTATTTGTTATGAACATACGCGTGTCTGCTCCTGTCTGTCTGAAATAATTATGAATTCCCCTTTTTGATTCAGCTCAAAAGCCGAGCAGAAACTAGGTGCTTATTAATTTCTTCATGTTTTCACTTACCAAATGTCTTCAAAAACTTCCGTTCGGCCAAAAATCCAGCTGAACTTAAAAACACTTGACCCACTTCTCTTGCCACGGTCCAGTTTGCACTTCGCCATCCATGGCGCCGCTCAATGGTATGATCCACATTTTTGTTGCTAACCCCTAGTGTATTACAGAAAATTCTTCTGCTCCTATATGTTCACTGTTCTTTTCTTCCATACAGAAGATATTCTCAGGACTTGGTTACGAGGTCACTACTAAGCCGACTACCTCTCCGAACCACTTGTTGTGGTCTCCAAGCTCAACAGCCGTCCTTGGAGTTGAATTTGCCGGGACTCCACAGAAAGCCGTGGAACCCACAGACGGTGTCTGTCTCACCCTCTTCCTCAGCCTCTCGCCACCACCGCGAGAGCCTCTTCTGGGCTCCGCAAATCAACGCCATTCATTGCCATTCTGGCAGACCCAGACTACCTGTGCTCTGGCAACGGGCTTTCTCCTGTGTCGTATCTGGCATTCCACTGGGAACGTGACCGTCGATCTATCGGAGCGCGACAAGAGCCTCATCCTTTCCCTGCCGGACCTTCGTGCAGGCACTCGTTGTTGCATCTCCCTGCCCAGTTAGTTGCGCCACGCCCCGTTGCCTTTTCCCTCTCTTCTCTTGGGTGCTCTTCTCATGCTCAAAGACAAACTGAGTTTTCCTGCATTTTGATCATTAGGGCTGTACGCTTCCAATTTTCTTTTATTTTCGTTTTTGCTTTTGAAAGAGAACATTAAAGATAAAGAGTGGAAAAATACACTCAACGCTGAAATCTGTCGTCTTCGTTTTATAAAAAGGGTTTCCTAAAAAAAAATATGAATTGCGGCAGCGAGGATTTTATTGGCCTGGCGTTTTGCCATCTCACTCGGACTCATCATCAGAAGTAACAGATAAGGGCAAATGCTGCCTATAAATGTTTCCTTCACTTTATCCATCCCTGCTGTCTCTCATGATGGGGTTGAGTGAGGATCTGAAACGTCTAATCAATAAACGTACCACTCCCGCAATCGCATCTTCTTCTAGACTACTGTGTTCTGTCAGTAGTGCACCCATAGTTCCTTAGTTATCCTTATCTGCGATTGTCTCTGATGATTTGTTCGGGCAGGAATCCGAAAATTCATACCAAATAAACTCTGCTGGGCAATTCGTCCATTACTCACCGTGATAAGGCAAGTTAACGCATGGATATCATTATTCGCCTTGCTGCCATGTAGCAGTGGCACATCTGAACAGGGGACTATTGGAGATGAGATTGAGCCTTCCAACTGACGAGGGGTGTGCGTTCGACCATCCACCATATGCACCAGGCAGGTTGGTGCATGGAAGGTGACTGGAGATCAGAGGGTAGAGTTAAGTGATAGAAGACGTAGCAAGCGCCAACCGCACTCTCCAACTTTATCCGGGATCAAGAAGACCAAACGGACTCAGGCGTTGGCCGCTTTCTCCAATGCAAGCCAGAACGTCGTCTAACTTTGTCTAAAGGGGCAGTAGACTTTGCGCGGGTACTGTCGCAATACGTATCCTCGCCCTAAAAATAATCTGCATGAATTCTTTCATGGGTCTCGGTTGTTAGAGTTAAATAACTAAATTTGTAGCAGATTCGGCGCTCAAAGTAACATCTTCTCAAGCGTTTGCGCAAGTCAACTTCCAAAAGACTAATGTATTTTTATGCACATTCCGTGACGCCCCATTCATCACTTCGTGTCCTGCCTTAAACTAGGTCGAAGCGAATGGAAAAGTGGCGTTGTGTCGGGACAAATGCTAATCACTAGTGACAGCTGTCAGCAGTACGGTTTCGTTTATTTGAATTTATCTGCAAGAAGCCATTTGTGAAGAGGGACGGCGTTAAAACAGGGCTTTTTACAAAACTGCAGTTAGTGAGCATGGGGCATCCCAAACATGACATTGAAATATTGGTGGAAGCCAAACGGTTTGATTTGCTCGTTCAATAACTGTTCTATGCTACTGCTGAAATTGCTTCAGTGGGCGTTTTGACGATTCTAAAAGACGGAATTGCTGTAGATCAACCGCAGCGGGTATAGAAAGAACTGATATCCGATGTCGTGGTTTTGGCTATGACGGCATGGCCATCCAGGGTCCATTTTTTCAGGTAGCTAGTTTCAGCACTTGTTCCGTCTTGCGGGGACTGGCATACGAACTCTTGCTATCCGGGTCGCCAAAGCCCACATATGGGAATGTTGTGTTTAGCGAAGGATTTATTCTAGTACTAAGATAATTTTTCGGATTGATCTTTGTTTTAGAGTTGGAACTACCTTTATGCCTAGAGATAGGTTTAGTCTTCGGGCTAGTTTTATGTTTGGTTCTGCAGTTAGGATTAGTCTTATTGCTTGAGTTATTTTTGGGGTGTGAGTAAGTTAGAACCCTTTATCCTCCTTCAATATGCCAATCACCTCGCTCCCAGCATGAAATATTGGCACCGGGTGTTTGTCAATTTACCAAGATCACAAGGGAAATAAAGTAAGTTCTCTATCTCATAAAATGTTAACCAAAAGTACTAAATGTCTTTCCGGTTCCAAGAAATTACTTAAAACGGTTTTAACATAAATTACCCTGCAGCCTAATCTCAAGATACCTTAGTCATGTAAAGATGTCTGCTTTTGAAGGAGGTTCTTCCTAACCGTATGCAAAAGTTTATGATGTAAAAACGACTGCTTAACTAGTGAGTATTTTCTCATCGATGTTCATTCTATTTCATAGAAAACACACAAAATATGTTTCCCTGTATTCCTTTGGTAGCGGATTACGCCTTTAAATTCTATTCTTGAAAAAAGATAATCTTTCGGTTTTAAAGAAGTTTAGATTAATGGGATCTTTTACGAGCGCGGAATGTTCATTTATAATACATTGTATGCGTCTATTTATTAATGGCGCCTATAAAGTTTACAGCCTGGTCCAAACTTATTGCAAAGTATTATGAGAAGAATGTAACCTCCTCTCATACCAAAGCGAAATATGTAATCTTCCCGAGACAGAATGTTTAAAACAGGTATGCTAAAAACGTTGAATTTAAGTGTAAAGGCTGGCAGGTACCAACATTATTGGTAATTCAAGAACTTTTGAAAAACGAAAGATATCCTTTCTTCAAATATGAAATTGGGAGAAGGCGTAATTTACTACCAAACGAATACAAGAAGTTTTATTTTTGTGCACGTTTTCTATAAAATATATTTGAATGTATCGGGGCCTTGAAAGTCAGTGAGAAGGTACATACTAATTAAGTATGCATTTTTTACAGAATATACTTTTGCACGCGGTCATAAAGAACCTCGTTTATCAACAAGTGTCAATATCTCCTGAACTAAACCGGCAAGACAATGAGCTCGTGGTTCAGTGTTCAGAGCGTTAGACTCTGATCAAAAATGACGCCAGTTTCAGCCTCGGTTGGTGCACCATTCGGAGTGGGGTATGACTGGCTGACGACGGCTAATAAGCCAGAAATGGTCATTCTATTCTTCCTTGTCTTTGCCGACAATAGTATCAGCGTTATCACGGATAATTCAGGTGGTCGTCGACGTTAACGCCGTGGATTTTCAGAATGGGCGATAGTGGGGGTGTTCGCAAAGGTATCGGCTGATGTTATCAAGTTGTTTCTGAATTGCATCTGGAGATGTCAGATGCGGCCGATTCCCGCACAGCATATTTGCTGCTGGAGTGGGCATGTTAGAAGGGGCGGGGCGTTGGCATTGTGGATAAGAACCGCCTGTGTCTTGCGAAGCACTCCTTTTGAGCTGGTATTAGACCCCTGGGGGACTATTTTTTTCTAGACTTGGTTACTTATATATGCCTGCCCACATAGTTGCTTGATCGAGCTCACCAGAAAGTTTGACATATTCGTATCGTTAGCTCGTTTGATTGACTTGAAGAACTGTGCATAGTAAGACCTTTGTTACATTTTATCTTTGGGTGGGCTTGGAGTTAACCGCGCAGACTTCAATTGTTGTCTGGGCTGCTTGACTTACCGCTAGAGCTTGAACCACTACGGCAAAGCCGGTGTTCGACTTTCAACTACATACGTTTGGGTTCCAAAAAGGTAGAATACGTATGAAAGTATTGCATGTTTAAATATTGTATAAACTTTTACATAATCCCAAGAATGACTTCAGAATCTTTAAATTACGGCCTTCGACAGCTTGAACTTGCCGTCTTTCAAAATCTGTCAAATGACAGGTATGGTGGGCCAACTCAATGCAGCGATACAGCTGAAAAGATACAGCTCGCTTAAACTTATTGCAGTCATTTTATTATTATTTTCTGCGAGAACAATGACTATTCATTTTGCCCAGGGCATTCGCCGTCCGAGGTTGCAGTAAAATCACGTTTTAAAAAGTAACATAACATTCCTTTTCCTTAAAACTTACAAACCTCAGAAAGAGTCAACGGTGCTTTCTGACGGTGGTCTTGTTTACTGATTGCGGACCCTCCAAAATCCATGATGGCTTATTGTGTGTAAATACTCTAGTTGTACGTATTTATTTACTCCATGACCACAGAGTTACATATGTGAGTAAAAGTATATTAAATTATGAGGAAGTGGAACCGAAAAGACGGGAGAGGCCAGAATGATCATTTCTGGCTTATAAGCCATCATCAGCCAGTCATACTCGGTTGGTTTCACTTCAGCATCTACTACAAATTGCTATACGACTGCCTGCAAAGGCTCTTGATTGAACT